CTCCGGCATGTTAGTGACGTTTTACGAGCATGTTGTGCGTTCCTCTTTTTTACTTTGTTTTAGGGCGCGCCTCTGTCTGCTTGCGAGTGATATGTGGTCTCTTATATTCTTCTTGACTGTGGCACCTTTCTGTGACACCGTAGCAGGACGTGATAGCCGTTGATCTCTTGAAACACAGCCAGTAAGGAAGTTGCCCTTGGTATACCTCTTGAACACTATATTATTTATATCTAGATTATATTTTTCAAAAACATTCATGATTTTAGGTGCAACATAGTTATCTCTTATAGACATCAGTCCGGTCATGGATAACTTTGATTTGTTTATTATCTATATATTCATGCCCATGTGTACCTCCTGATTCTACACATCACTATTATTTTTTTAACACCACGTTATACACACGCTGCGTGCACGCCCACCAAGGTTCAGTCTAAAACAAAACCTTTCTGGGTACTTGTTATCTCGTATCTGGTCGCTGCTCACAAGCTTTGCTCTTGGGCTGCGCTGGGCAGCCCTGCTCTCACTAAAGGGTAAATGTAACTCGCGGTGCGATGTCTGGTCCATAACTGAGTTCCGGCAATTCAGGCTCTTTGTACGAGAACTAAAATATACATTTGTGAGAAAATATTCCGAAAACTTCACCCTAGTGTGAGGTAGGGAATGCATGTAGACATTTTGAAATTCTGCATAACAGCCCAGAATTCGATAAAAAAAAAGTATTTTTATTGTATTTACTCTGCAACTACTTCGTTGGTTCGTCTTCGAGTCGTCTTCGTGTCTACTTTCGAGCTGCCAGGTAGGTTTCTGACTTCAGGTGGATCTAACTGGCTGCCATTGCTTGGGTACTCTGGCGATTCGCACGACACGTTTAGAATGCGTGTATGTTAGCCATCTTTCTATCCCGGTTATGAGAAGCTCAAGATGCCGTTGAATCGCTGGGTGCCACTGAATTAAACAATCACAATTGAATAAATTAAGCTTTGCCTGCATGATCTATAAAACATGTGTTATGTCACGTGAAGCGTTGACCGTTGTACTTTCTTTATATACACAAATATATAGGTGTTTTATGATGATTATCACTTTCTTTTTAATTATCGGATGGTATGCTGTTTTTTTATTTTTTTTTTAATTTTGATTAGTATTATTGTATCCCGTGAAAGAGTTTTTTGGGGGGATACTATGGATTTGGCCTCGTCGCACCCCGCCGCAGAGATTCCTTGTGAGCGCTCTCTACCGGCTACAGTTTCTTCTCGGCATCTTCAAAATTCTCGCATAAAAGGTGCGTTATCTGTAAAGCGAAGACGCCAATCGTTTTTGGTGTGGCGGTGTCATTCGTTGCATTAGGTAACATACATTTTCGGGTTCGAAATTTATAAAACCTGTAATTCTGGCATGTTTATTACCGATTGTTCATGAAAATTTGGCCACACAGGACCAATATTATTACATTATAGTAATATATATATATAATATTATATATTATATAGGACATGTTTATAATCGGTTCTGTTGCAAATGCCATGACAATTTCGTGCGTTAATAACAGCACAAGCTTACGAGGTTCTACAATATTTCCCGAAATATGTTGTTACCATGGCAACGATAGCTTTGCCTCATCCACCAAAAACGTTGGAATCTTCGGCTTTACCATATAACGCACCTCCACGCACACACATAAAGGCAACACTGCGCGATGAAACATAGCACACGGCACACGCACACACACAAACACCACGCACACAACACACGAATACATATCTGAGCTGAGGGATGACATTTCCGCTTGCGCAAATTTCTATACTTTACAATCTGTGGTTTGGAGAGGTGTGCACAGTTACCAACAACCAGCGTCATGCGTACCTATTTATTTCACCTGTTACCTTTGACCTTGATCATATTTCGTCTTCTTGCTCTCTAACTCAGCCGCTAATTTGGAAACATTAGCCGCGTACCAAACTTGGCAATGATTACACATCTTGGGAGAAGGTCTGTCGCATTACCAAACCCACCACTTGCCTTATTGACCTGTAGTTTGACCTTTGACCGTTTCAGACTTACATTATCCTCTCGGCCTCCTAGGGTAACAGATGCCACTAGCAGCTGCCCCCTAGATTTTGGAGCCAAAATTATAAAAGACAAGCTTAGCTACTAAAAAGAGAATTGTCGGTAGTCAGCGATGAAGGCCTGTAAAGTACTCAAACGTTGCCTCAATTACCATCTTCCTTGCGATTCTACATTCTTTCAAACTGTTCTGGTGGTAAGAACCCCCAACGCCCACCTGTTTTCTCAGACGCCTCCTCGAAATCCTGCACCCGCCACTGCCCCTAGGAAATGGTTCAGCTTACTGCCATGCACATACACGCGTGCATGCACACATTGAATACCTTTTTAATAACTTTGTACCTTAGAAAACCAGCCGCATGTCTTTTCTACATTTCGTTCTACTTCTCGCTTTTCCCTCCTGCTACATCACTCCTCTACAATTTTCCACTAAAGCTCTTCCTCCAACCTCATTATCTTCCTCGTTACTCCTACTAGTGTTTTCTTCTTCATCTCTCCACCTAATTATCCCCCCCCCCCATATCTCCATCGTCTTTACTCCTATAATTTGCTCCTCCCGATACCTTTTCTGCCTCTATTATATATTCTTCCAACCTCCTCTTCCTCATTTACTCTTCTGTCTCCTCCTCACCTCCTATCTTCTCCCCTCCTCTCGTCCTCCTGTTTCTTCCTCCCTCCTCCTCACTCCTTACTACCTACGATTGCGCACCTAGCTTCTCATCTTGACATTTTACACACTCAACCACACTGCCACGAAATGAGATCGACGGTAAGTTGGCTATTATATTTTTATTGGTTTGATGAGTTCAGTTTTTTATTCGCATACGATGTATGCGACAAAACCCTCAATATCTATTAGTGCTAACATTACCTAGTTGCAGCGAGCAGAATGAGACAAAGTTTCGATTTTTCTGTGTATTTCTGAACTTCGAATTCGATTTTTATTTAAATAACTGATCACGATTTGCTTGCCGAGCAACTGATCTCCCGCGCTTTATACTAACAAGACTAACAGTTATAGTGTATATGGAGACAGAGCACGTATATCATTATGATTGTGATAGAGATCAGTGCGCACCAGCACACTGCAACGCGGTCAGGCACCACACCAGCCCTAGAACAGATATATATATATATAAGTCGTCGCCTTATTGCCGGCAATTAGACGGAGACGGTATATATTTAGTATTTTATTTCAGTTTTAAGCCGTTAATTATCTATAATATAATACAAAATCCTGTCTTGTGTTTTATGCGTTGATTTTCTGACATCAGCACGAGGTTTTCTACGGGTTGACCTTGATATGGCTCGACTCGCTCCCGTTCTGCCTTTCCCTTCCTTCTCAGCTGGTCCTCTATAGGGATTCTTCCTCCTCCACCGCTTTCATACCCCTCCTTAAATGCTGCCGCCTCTCCATTATCTTCGGTTACTCCTCTCCTTCCTCCTCTCCAACGAATCCTGCCGCGGTCCGCCGTTCGTGCCTACTGGTGCGACCATGTCTATTGTCGACTTTATCATACGCCCACTTCTGTTGTTTTGCTGCTTGTTTTAAAGTGATTACGTCACCGTAAATAGTAAAAATAACAAAAATATTTCCACTTTTTCACAAAATACAAGTGGATTTTGGTTCACTTTTCTATGGTTTAATTGCCTGCCATTATACTTCCTATTTTACCTATATTGTGTTCGATTGTGAACATATCACTTCGCTGACTCATCACATAGCCCCATACTGGACAAGCAACTTACATGTTAGGAAATTAATATCAGATCATCCAGGTTTTTTGAGATTTATTAACTAGTCGAGATCAACATTTGCTTTATCAGGTATTAAGTAAGAATTTGACGATACGTTTAGTCGCGTTAGTTCTTACTTTTAATGTAAAAAAATGGCAACAAAAATTTTTACAAATTTTACCATAGCAAATTCTTGACGTAGTCAATTTAATGTGGTTCTCGCAAAGTCGTAGGCTTCCCCCATGACATCTTGGATCCACTGTACGTATTCATGAGGACCCTTCCCCACGGTACCCAGCGGTCGTCCTACTATGACGTCCACTGGCATATGTATCTCCCTTCCGAACATCATTAAATTCGGTGAACACCCAGTAGATGCTTGTGTGGTCGCTCGGTAAGCCATCGCGATGAACGGCAAATGATCATCCCAGTCATCACGGTTTTGGTTAACAAATGAAGAGAGCATTATTTTGTTGAAGCGTTTTATTATATCGTTCTACTAAACCGTCGGACCTAGGATGATAAGGTGTTGTTCTTGTTTTGTTTATTTGCAGGAACTTACAAACTTACTTAAAATTACTCCTTGAAATAAGCGAGATTCGAAGTCTGGTCCTTGGTCGGTGTGGATTTGATACGGAACCCCGTACCGGCAGATGTATTCTGTCACCAAGACGTCCGCTACCGTATATGCCTCCTGATTCGGCAGCGCAAAGCACTCCGTCCATTTTGTGAAATAGTCGCATACTACCATGATCACCTTGTTCCCTTTCTCAGTTTCTTCTAGCGGTCCCATGATGTCGATGGCGACCCGTTCGAATGGAGCTCCTACTTCCGACTGTTTTAACCTTCCCCTTTTCAACCCTTTTCCAGGTTTACTCCGAGCACAGACAGTGCAGTACTGGCACCATCT